CATGAAACGTCAATGGAAAAGTGGAGAAAGCGATGAAGTGATTTTGAAGAAAGCGTTGAAAGTGTATCATAAAGAAAATCTGAAGGCTTTCAAGTTTCTTGAAGTTTGGAATTTTTTGAAAGATAACAGGAAATGGCTGAGTAACAAAACATCAGACGAGCATATCGACAGTGGGTCAAAACGCAGCAGAACATCTGAGTCCGACCACACTACATCAGATGCTCGTGTTCAATTTGATCTGAACGAAGATGAACCTGTTCCAGTTTCACCACCTTCCCGACCAATGGGAAGAGACAAATCAAAAAGCAAAGGCAAAGGCAAAGCGTCGGATTCAAATGATTTGAAAGAAATGGGATCCGACATGAAGGGTATAAAAGACAGAATGGATAAAATTTTGAAATTTGCTTCTGAAAGAGAGCTTCGGAAACAAAGGGAGAGCGACATGCGAATACTAGCGATGGACACGTCGAACATGACCGGGGCCGAGCTTGAAGTGGTTTTGGCGATGAAGGAGAAAGTGAAAAATCGTTACATCAATCGTGGCTAATTTCTAGTTTTTTTTAAAGTTTTTAATCGTTTCGTGTGTGTGTTTTTTTTTAAGTTGTAGGTTTTATGTTTCTACTTTGTTTTTCTAAATTTTTAGGTTTTTTTTTTAAAGTTAAGTAATGTATGGTATTTGTATTTTTAATTAATGAAATATTATCTTTTTAAAATTATGTTTTTTATTAAATAAATAAGTTTTATTAAATTAAAATAGTTAACAAAATAACAAAAAAAAAATAATAATAAATAAAAGTGTGGCACCACCCCCTTGGTGTGGCAAGAAACCACACTTGTGTGGTATAATTTGACATGGCGCTTATGTGGCGGGGGAGGGAGTGCGATTTCGGTGGCATCACTCCCTCCAGCCTCAATGATATATACACTAATCGCGCCCTATAATTATATGACTCAATCCTTCGTATACCTCCTAATTGCTAGTTGCCTAGTTTACCGTTTTGTTTGATTTTTTTTATTTTGTGTTATTTTTATTTTATTTTTTAAATTTTTTTTGGAACAACATATAATAATTATTTTTCTCAAATCCTTGTAATTAAACCCAAAGATCTTTTAGTTAGTTGTTAGTGTAGGACTTCCTTGTTAGCCAAGTAGGCTAACCCCAACTTATTTTAATATTTTTAATTAATACATATTATTATTAACATTAAAAATATATTTTATTATTTGTTTGGACTATTTTTGTGTTATTTTTTTTATTCAGATTATCTTTCTGTTATTTTTTTCATTCAGACTATCTTTGTTTCAGACTATTTTTGTATTATTTTTTTATTCAGATTATCAATAAGATTTTTTTGTTCGGAATATCATTGTGTTATATTTTCGTTCCTACTGTTTTTGCGTTGTTTTTTTTTCAGTTGAATTATCCAATATTATTTTTACGTTTGGACTATCTATATGTTAGTATTATTTTTTTTTCATACAGACAATTCTTGTGTTATTTTTTGTTCTGACTATCTCTATGTTATTTTTGCGTTCAGATTATTCATATGTTATTGTTTCATTTAGACTATCCTGTGTTATTTTTCTGTTCCAACTAACATTTTGTAGTTTTTTGTTTCGATTATCTACGTGTTATTTTTTTGTTCGGATTATCATTGTGTTATTCTTTTAGTTCCTGATGTCTTTGTGTTGTTTTTTTCAATTGAATTATCCAATATTATTTTTACGTCTGAACTATGTATGTGTTATTTTTTTCATACAGATTATTCTTGTGTTACTTTTTTGTTTCGATTATCTCTATATTATTTTTCTGTTCAAAATATTCATATGTTATTGTTTCATTTAGACTATCATGTGTTATTTTTCCGTTTCCGACTAACATTTTGTTGTTTTTCGTTCCGATTATCCAGGTGTTATTTTTTTCATTCGGATTATCATTGTATTATTTTTTTTAGTTCCTACCGTCTTTGTGTTGTTTTTTTCAGTTGAATTATCCAACATTATTTTTACGTCTGGACTATCTATGCGTTATTTTTTCTTTCATACAGACAATTCTTGTGTTATTTTTTGTTTCGACTATATCTATGTTATTTTTATGTTCAGACTATTCATATATTATTGTTTCATTTAGACTATCCTGTGTTATTTTTCCGTTCCAACTAACATTTTGTAGTTTTTCGTTCCGATTATCTACGTGTTATTTTTTTTCGTTCGGATTATAAATTGTGTTATATTTTTTAGTTCCTAATGTCTCTGAGTTGTTTTTTTCAGTTGAATTATCCAATATTATTTTTATGTCTGGACTATCTATGTGTTATTTTTTTTATACACACAATTCTTGTGTTATTTTTTTGTTCCGATTATTTCTATGTTATTTTTCTGTTCAAAATATTCATATGTTATTGTTTCATTTAGACTATCATGTGTTATTTTTCCGTTTCGACTAACATTTTGTTGCTTTTAGTTCCGATTATTCACGTGTTATTTTTTTTCGTTCGGATTATCATTGTATTATTTTTTTAGTTCCTACCGTCATTGTGTTGTTTTTTTTTCAGTTGAATTATCCAATATTATTTTTACCTCTGCACTATTTATGTGTTATTTTTTTCATACAGACAATTCTTCTATTATTTTTTTTTTGTTCCGACTATCTTTATGTTATTTTTCAGTTCAGACTATTCATATGTTATTGTTTCATATAGACTATTCTGTGTTATTTTTCCGTTCCAACTAACATTCTTTTGTTTTTCGTTTAGATTATCCACGTTTTTTTTTCTTTTTTCGTTCGGACTATCATTGTGTTATTTTTTTGTTCCTACTATCTTTGTGTTGTTTTTTTTCGTTCCTACTATCTTTGCGTTGTTTTTTTCAGTTGAATTATGCAATAGTATTTTTACGTCTGGACTATCTATGTGTTATTTTTTTCATACAGACAATTCTTGTGTTATTTTTTTGTTCCGAATATCTCTATGTTATTTTTCCGTTCATACTATATTCTTATGTTATTGTTTCATTTAGACTACCCTGTGTTATTTTTCCGTTCCGACTAACATTTTGTTGTTTTTCGTTCCGATTATTCACATGTTATTTTTTTTGTTCGGACTATTTCTATGTTATTTTTTGTTCTGATCATCTCTATATTTTTTTCCGACTATTCATGTGATATTTTTCGTTTGGACTATCTTGTTATTATTTTTTTCATTCAGACTATCAATGTGTTATTTTTTTTCATTCGAACTGCCATTGTGTTGTTTTTTTAGTCTGAACTATTTAGTGTTATTATTTTGTTGCAATTTTCATAGCTATTAAATAAAATCCACACAAAAACATAGTTAGTCAAATAAAAAAATAATACATAATCAATCCGAACGAAAAAAATAACACAATAATAGTCAGAACAATACGTATGATTGTTCGTAAAAATGAAATAATTAATTAAAATAATAATAATAATAATAATAATAATAAAAAACAAAACAAAAGACAACAAAAAAAGAAAAGAAAAAAGAAACAAAATAAAAAAACAAGAAAATGACAAAAAAAGTCAAATCGAAATGGGTTATTTATGCCAAATCAGAAGGGGTTTTATTTATGACAACTCAAAGGGTATGCAAAACAACACCCGAAAAAATTCAGCAGAGACTTGATTAGCACGACAAAGTTTGGCAACGGAAACGAGGTTTTTACGAAGATTAGGAACACAAAGAAAATTAGATAAGTTTAAAGATCGAGATGCGGTTGGTTTTTTTGTATGACCCATGTGAGAAATGGGAAGAGTTGTACCATCACCAAGAAGGATTTCATCTGGTCCACCATATTATGAGACTGTGTGAAGGGAATATCAATATGATGTTAAGTGATGAGAAGCCCCATTGTCAAACATCCAAGGTGCATTAAGTAGAGTCGAGTGTGAACTCGAAGAGGTAGCATTTGCAACCTGATTGGA